ATAAAGTGTAGATAGTACATAGAATACAAAGTAACCACTATTATTAATCATTTTTGCAATTACCTTGTTTTTTATGGAATCATGAACATAATAACGTGCGGTATTATCATCTATCCTTCCTGATCAGGAAGGAAAGTTTAAGCTTCAGTTAATTTAACATGACAACGAATTTTACATTTTTCGGCCGTGACTCTCAATCAAGTGACACCTCTACTCAACCTTTTACCTACAACCAAAAGAAGCGCCAAAGCAAACGATTTTGCCATTTTACCAAAAGAAGTTGCCGAATCCACTTCAAAATGTTGATTAATTAATTGATGATGTTGGTGATTTTTGATGGGTTCAGTTTGTTAAGTGTTATTTTTCTTAATAATTTTTCTTGTAAAAATTGCAAACGCTTACACACAGAAATGCTGAGGCCAAAAACGATATTCAAAATTATTAGAAACTCAGCCCAAAGATTGAAATTAGGTTTTATATTGCTTGTAACTATTTTGTCTTAAGTAACATAGGTGTCACAATGCTGTAACATCAGTTACAAATACAACCGTACTCGTCATGATACTATACGCCTTGGTTTTTAATGATGTTATTTATTAGCAAAAAACGCGAAAGCATAGAGAAGGTAAAGAGGTATTTAATAATAAACAGCAGTGAACGAATTTTACTTTACCACCATATACACTCATTAACTAGTATTAGCTTGCTTCAAGTATTACGACTTATGACCGCATATTCAACGATATTGTTTCTGTCAGGGGGCATTATCAGTTGCCACTCTCGGAGCTGGAGACAGTATGGTTTCGAAGATTTGCTGCATCACGATAAAGCTTAACAGAATGGTTTATTCACTAGAATATTTTAGTGACTAAAGGTTCTCTCGTGTAAATTAGTTTGCCCTACTCTGTAACTGTTAAATCACGCGTCAAGATAACGAGTTGTAATAAACTGCACGCGTGTGACAGAGTAAATCAATCAAGAAAAACATACATTTCTGTTGTAAAAACAAAAAAAAAACTCAAATAAATTGACTTTTATGAGGAATCTACATAAGGCCGTTTCTCTTCCCTAATAACTAAGCCCTATTAGCTGCTACAAAAAAATTGATTTGGTGAAGCTGGTAACTCGGATCCGTATGCCGAATAGTGCTACACAATTGACATTTGCTATAGACAATAGCAACTTTATGCACGGTCTGAGTTGGGGACTAAAAATCAAATTATTATAATATTAACTATAATAAATACATTCTAATCAATATATAACTGACTTTATTTTATGCTATTTACACAGGTTAGTTGTCTGAAAATACCATTTGCACCGACTTATATATAGCTTCTAATTTAAAATTAGGTGCCTATAACAAGTGGCAAGTTTTAGTATCCCCGAACCAAAAACCTATTTATTTCTCTCTCAGTTTTGTGTACTAAAACATGGTAAAGCAAGACAGTGTATCAGAAAACCTGAGAAAAAAGCATTTAACATTGAATGTAGCAAATATTTCATTGCAATACATATCTGGCTCGGGCAGTGAGCGAGCAGTAGTTCTGCCAAATTAACTAACATCGGATGTTTTAAATTCTTTATTGGTGGAACCAGTTAGATAGGAGATGTATAATTGAAGTACAACTTGTAAGAAAGATACTAACTTCAAAATTCGAGTTAAAAATCACGAGTTCAACGACGAATTAGATTAAATAAGCAGGAACTACCTGACGAATATTCAAAAACACAAGACCTTAATTGGGTTTGGGGTGAGCGAGCAGTATAAAAAGGGGCAATAACTGACTAAACTTCCATTCCGTAATTGGAATCCATACTCATTGCGTAATTGGTTCCAATTACGTCCAATAATGTCATCCAATAAATATGCAAAAAGGATACGCACGCTTATCAGACTTCATATATATATACATAGATCTGTTCGAAATGATATGGCAGATCTGTTTCAGTCTGAGGGATATTATTTCATGATCCGCAGAATACATTTCGGATTCATGGAACGTTCAATGCTGAATGTGATAGGTGACTCTCGAGTTAGTTACTTTAAACATTTATCAACGTGCAATAATTTGTATAAAGTTCTCAACAAAAACTCTGAAGAACAGCTAGCAAGATTATGATAATAATAAACGTAAAGGATGCTCTGCTTCTTCTGCGAGATAATTGTTTACTAGTTTAATTGCCATTCTGCTTTTATGTGCGTCATAGCCCAAACAACTGAATCCTAGGGACAGATATCAAGTTGATTCCGTGTGCGGTCTTTCGGTTTTATTTTTAGTATTATAGTTCACACTCGCAAAGTCTCAATATATTGCGCGATCTAAGTTCATAGTGTCAATAGCGTGAGTAATGGCTCGATGGCGGGTACCTTAATTTAAAAATAGACTTACAGTGCATTGAATAGATCGATTATAGTACACTGAATTTTATAGTTTGTTTTTAGATATATACATTTTTCTCAAGCAATGAAAAATATGGATATAACGCTCTGGTAGTAATTACGCATTTGAGCGAATTCGTCGTATCTGTCTCGCTCGGAAAAGTTCTGTTGGACGCTACCTATAAACGCTACACGTAGTCATGCTATCAACTGAATATATGTCGTATAGGCGTGCGTAAGAGGACGGCCGCATCGAAAGGAGAAAGGGCTAAACACGCAGGTCCTCCTACAAATAGAACTTGAGGAAGTAGGACCGTTCTGAGAACCATCGGCTGCTTTTCTGTTTATTTATGTGAGTTAAAAATAAGTGGAGAGTGGCGCTCTCTGCGTTTTGCAAGGTGAACCACAACAATACAATGATGAGTTTCGGAACATCGGAGCTTTCTAGGTTTTCCGATACATTCTACCAAGTTTGGTCGACCGAGTCGTATCAGTAACATAGCAGTTATTCAACTCTCAACATATAGCTTGTGAAGTACTACTAGGCGCCAGCATTGCTCAGTAAAGGAATCTAAAGTGTTGCGGGTAAGGATTCCATGTGTGTTTATCATCATTTCGATTGGATCCCTGTTTCTACTACCACGCCCACGTTGCTTAACAGTGCATTGATTGGCTTATCTCTTCATTGTGGTCTCGCATGATTCTAGTAAACTGTTTCGAGTGGTCGTATAGCTACAACAAGTTCGGATATGTTGTGTGTCAATCTTAGAGCAAAAAGAGAACAGCAAACCATCTGCGCCTTAGCAAACAGAGTGAAGTGAGCTTGTTTTTCAAGAGCCAAAAAGAGCCATCAATATTTCCTCAATAGCGTGACGAAGTAGACAGTTTTTGAATCAACACCAATTATACAATATCATTAATTGAATAAATTCAACCACTACGCCTACTGGAAGCGGCTAGCCATTTGGTGCTGTCGAGAAGAACACTAGGAGCATCGTTGGATGTATAAGCTTCATCCGTCTGTTCTGTCCAGCTGTATGTCATTGGACAAGTTTATATTTTGATTAAAGGATCCTTACGTAATGATTAACACTTCCGGTTAGGTTCGGGCGCCTAAACTTTTTCGAGCTTCAAAAATCAATGATGAGACAAACACTAGATTAATCAAGCAACAAACACCATTGGTTTCTGCATATGATCACCAGACAACTATTTGCGAATTGCAGAAATCAGTTATTATGCGTCTAGCCGTGTCGTCAATGTTGTCGTCGTTCTAGTAGAAATTCCAAGCCGCTCTTTTGCGGTCGTTATCATTTGCCCAGTCGGCTCCCCGTGCGTTTCGCATTAATTCTGGCGACTTCTACTACACAACTGAGTAACTCACTCCAGAGCAAATAACAGAATCACGCTTACATAGCTACAGGGGAGATTACATAAAGACGCCGGTCCCAGAGACGATCAATACCAATGCGATTGTCACTCTGTCGATCGGCCTAAAAACAGCGGTTCGCCTTTTTCTTTTTTTTTTTTTTATTTTGGCTTGTCGCGGCGAATTCCACTAAAAGATCTAATCGTAGAGTCTATCCGCGGGTAAGAACAATATCTAACTTTGCTATTGTTTCGCATTGCCTCTCAATATAGTCAATCAATCCGCTGACAACAACCTAGTGGACAGGACCTACGTATGTAGATGCAGTCGGCACCTTCAAATCCTCACGGTTAGTAAGCGAAAGGAAACGAAAGTGCACCAGTAACGACAAAACAGGCTTGTACGATTTTGGTTGCAGAAAAGTAGAGCTCGTATGGACATTCTGGCGACCTCATTTGTATCATTATGATTATTATTATTATGCAACAAAAAAAAAAAAAGAAAAACGCCCGTTCCTAACAGAAATAGTGAAGCGAGAAAAATATAGCAATAAATATTATTTCTTGTACTAAAATGTCTATTGGAAAACATTTGAATGTCGAAGCTCTTATAGTATTAAACGTTGCTAAGAACTACTGCCATCGATGAGCATGGTATTTCGTGGCGAGTATTGCAATATTCACGGCATAGGCGATAAACACACAGCAAGCCCAGATGATTCGTCCGCACGTCATGTTACCAGGGTGATAAAAAGTTATCCGATTCTAAAAAAGCTTCGATCGATTCACTCTGCCTGGAATAAATAACAATCATTAACGTTCATGTGGCACCGATATCATGCAGCCTCTCTTTGGACGTCCGTTATAGAGGGTGACAGCCGCTCGCATGTCTGTCATCGCCAAGCGGCCCACTGGAGATCGGCGGGCCGTGGTCCATGGAAGAATACGGAGTCGGGCGATTTCCTATTGCCCCCTTCTGCCAGCTAGTGACAAGCCGCAACGGCGTTAACGGATCGTCTAGTCGGTGGATCGCAGCCACCGGCGCGCGGTGTAACTGATGGAAGCAGCCATACGGGAAACGCAGGAAAACGGCCGCTGCGAACCCATAGCAGCAGCACCGTTGACAGCCACAGCCGACTAGTTACAATCTATAACAAACCTTAACTTTATCTCGCCAGAGAAGCGCCGCCACGAACCGCAAATATTGCATCGTTCACGCTGCTCGTAACAACGTGGCAGTAAGTCGCTAATAGCGTAAGCGTGATACTACCAACACCATCAACCATGAATGTGGTTCATATTCCGCACAGTAACAGCGACAGTGGAAGCGGGGGAGTCACAGCCCAGCTCTATGCCCCACCGCCATGCGGTCAAAATCCGGATTTCTTGAGGCATATCAATGCACAGAACGGAAAGATTCTTGCCTTTCTAACGGTCCTCTCATTGGCCACCTACCATGGAGTGATTCACTTATTCTATGGAATTGAAACGTGCAGGTGGATTCTAAGCGATGGACGCTTCCAGGTAAGCTTCTACCTAAATAGGTGAAAATTTACGGCTTGTTAAATAGATGATAGGCTGATGGGGGTTTAATGGGATAAAACACAAGACATTACCTTGAGAGTAGTGGTAGACGTGGAATAATGGCGGTCCGATATCAATATTTACAGCTGGTTCAATTTTGTAAGTTCTTAACCATTGGCATCTATTCGCGGCACTCTAAGTTGTACATTGGAGCCTAAAGGTCGACTCACGTATTATAGACGGCATGCATTGTAGAAGTTAGTTGATAGTCTAATTGCTGTCTTTTGACACGCGCAGGCAGCGGAGAGATTCAGACAGAGAGAATTCATCTATTCTTATTTATTACAAATTGCTTATAAGCGGTGATTTTTTGTCCGTTTTGCGTGTCGGCTAGTATTTACCCGACCCACAGCATAGTCAGAATGCTGCCAATTATTACCGAAAAATTTTAATTCTACTCAACGAAACATTAATGTTATCTTACAGTGACTTAAGCGAATGTTTTTGATATGCATTGTCGAACATCGAATATAAGATCTGTAAAACCTCGAAACTGAAATCTCTGAAATGTAAGCTGCATAGCTGTCACTTAAAGCTTTACCTTCGAAATTTTGAATTAATTTTTGAAGTTCTCGAGGGGTTTAAAGGATAAGGGCCTAGCACCGAGTAAATTCTAGAGTCTTTCTAATTGTCTCATATCACTCAATCCTTCTTCCAATGACTGTTCTGACAAACGTTTTTCTTGATGCTCCCATCATTAATAATCCCACATTTATGATATTCCGCCTACTACTTAAGGGATCTGGTTGTTGTAGCCAAAACACAGACAGGACGAGGGTGAGTCAGCATAACAATTACGGCCCCCCAAGCAAAGAGATCAGGCTAGTACGTTCCGGCCAGTGAGGACACGCGTTATGGTACATTATACGAATGTCATTGCCACAAAATTGGAAAAATTAAAATAAGCTATGCTATGCGCCACATGTGAGTTACAGAAGTCACTGTGTGTCCGCAGTGCCCCGACGGAGCTTCCAAAATAAAAATAGATGTGTTTGATAATAATGTACCACTAGAATATCCATACAAATTACCTAAAAATTAGCTGTTTGTTTAGTAAAAAAAAAATTCATCGGTAATCTATATCTGAGCAACTGCATCGCGACAGTATGTCGTTTCCATTAGAACTGCTTAGACTTTATAATGAAAACAATGACTAGCTTGGAGAATGTTACTTATCATACAAGAGTATATAATTACGAATAAAAAACACAACAATAATCAAGCTGACCGTGGATAGAAGTTACGGTGGCTGAGTGACTGGTATATTTAATTAAATTTCAGTTCCAATGGCCTTTCATGCTATCAAATGTTAATCTTCTGAAGAAATGTTTGTCCTGTTGCAAAGTTGTTTAAGTTAATGGAACTGAGGTTAGCACATCTTTTTTTTTAGAGTATTTTAGGGTAATGCTGTCACGGACACCGTTGGACAGCCATGATCCGTTCAATCCTAGGGTACGGTGAAGTTTAGGTTTCTAAGAAACATGAGTTACAAACTCTGACCCCTCTTCCTTTTTCTTGAGCTGTTATCTCAGGCTCCTGTCAAGCTATTTCAAATCACAGTCTGTGCTGAAAACCAAGTGGTTTTGAATTGCCTAGAACGTTTTATGTTGTGTACAATTTGCGTCCTTTTCTCAGACGACTTTTGAGTGTTTTGTGGCATCGTAGTTTAGCCATTGAATGACTATTCGTTCAATCAACGATATTTGGTACAGCTTTGCGAGTCCGCGTTTTTACCCATGACTGTAGAGCTTTTTCCTCAACCGCTTTTTATATTATTATGGGATCTCCGTGTGTTTGATTCTGAGCCAACAGTATTCATGAAATTGGCTAAACGAATGATTGAACAAAAAAAGTTTGAATTGACACAATTTGGTACGCTTTGGTAATTTTAACAGACGTTATATTTCGCAGTTTTCTGCTAATATAATAGGTGCCACATACAGGACCATTAGTTTGACTACTTGCAGCAGTAGTTTCATTTTGGAGGCAGCAAGAGGTTTGATTAACCTCTTGCTGAACTTGTCAGTCTGCCCAGTTTGTTAACCTATATTGAGGGTTCTTTAGGAACACGCCAAATGAATATCACCGCGGTACCTGGCGGGCCTTTTAACCTGTATAATGCACGTGATCTGCATTTCTTCGCATTTTTCCTCTTTTTAAGAAAGCGATTGCATGACGCTTCTGCAGCGTCGTAGACGGGGGTGGCCTTTCTTTTTTTGGCTTTTACCTTGCAATTTCTATAGATACCTGTCCGTAAACTAAGTTTCCAATAAAATGGAGAACTTTGCCGCTCCGTTACCGATTTGATTATAATCTATGGTACGCTGTTGAAGACATCACATACGTGAATGTATGCTAGGAAGTGAAACGCTTTTGTCGTTAGAGATTTATTATTTATTTCCTCATTTCTAGCTAACACTTTGACAATCGCAAATACGGTAGGACTTTTTTTTTCTGGAATCTGTTCCGATGCTCGGAGATAATGTTTTTTATTTCCTGTGAACATTTTGACCTTTTATGTTATTATGCTTCTAAGTCACTTTGGATCCTGTCACTTTGGACCTTTAGATTACGACTGGTCGCATCGCAAATTTAACATCTATTAGTTATACATTTCCGGCACAAATTTCAAGAATCGCGTTACAAACAGAATGACTTGAAACGATGGCAGCGGTTTCTCATAGTTGACTCATGTACAATATGATATAGGATGTATAGGTTAATCTCTTTGTGCACCTCGTTGTTTTTGATGCAAAAATCTGAAGACTTTCCGAAAACACACTAAACATGATAATCACATTTGAATACTTACAACTGGTGTAGAATATTTGCTATATATTGCAATCATTTTGGGACTTTTCGCCACGTGAATTTTTTCGCGCTATCAATGGTTGTATTCTATCAATGTCTCACACACAGGGAGACCATGTGTGGCAGCCGTACGGGTGCATGTTACATTCGTACTCGAACGCCGAAGCCCGCATGTGTTTACGGTATGTGTCGTACTGGGGGGATCGAACGCACGTAGTTTTTGTCGGTGACTCCCGTGTACGCCAGTTGTATCACAGCTTCGTTCGGCAGTCAAAACCCTACACTGCGAGCGATGACCAAAGATTGGATTTTCCTGTACATCACGATCTCTCCTACGAAGAACCGAAATTACACACAAAGGTGGGTGGATGCTTTTATCGTAACACGTTTTTTCCTTTGGTCTCAGTATTCTGTGACGACGCGCGATTTCGAGGGATTCATAAATGAATGCCTAACCTAATATAGCCTTTGAAGTTCTTTAAAGCGTTATTACACGGTTTTAATTGTAATCCGTACTTTATTACCGAATAGGAGTTTTGGTGTCATCTTCTTGACGGAAAATTATTTATGGATTTGCGTCGTGATCTATGCCAGAGTGACTGTTGCATAATGTGTGTATGGTCTGCCAAACAAACAGCGTTAATAAAAATTAGTCCAAAACTGCTTCGTATGGTTCATGATTGCTGAAATAGCTGAGTTCAAGATTACAAAACCTTTTGTAGGACATGCTTTTTCGGGCCATAAGTTAGATATTAAAAGGTGTACAACAACAGCAGAATACATTTAGCTGATGAGAAGCAATTCAATGCTAGTACCTACACACATATAACTCAAGCATCTAGATAGTCGGGGTTGTATAGTAACTAGTAGGTTGTGCTGTGACCGCAATGCCCCTAGGTCGAATCCTGGTAATGGCTCTGTTTTTCTTAACTAGACAAGCTGTTAACCGGAGCCTGCGGCATTCGAAACACTAAGCACTCATGTGACAGCCTAATCAGTTTATAGAAGAATAAATAAATACAATAACGTTTATTTACTTTCGATCATGTATCTTCAACAACACGTCTATGTTAAAATATACGTGGCCCCTAAGTTCTAATATTTACAGGGTTGAAAAATCAAAAAAGACTGAAAGTTCTCGCCATTCATATTCGCTCAGTTGGCGACAGAATCAATGTGCCAGGCTTTCAAACGAAGGCACCACGGGCAGCTGCAACATCCGTATATATATATATATATATATATATATACCTACAGATATAATGATGGCAGAATAGTTGAATACTCATTTACCAAACAATAACTACAAAAAAGCAGCTTAGTAATATAATTATGTAATATTACAACCAAATAAGCTATTTATACGTTTCTGGAATAAGTCCGTAAGTCTGCTGAACGTTCGCGCTCACCGGCAGTCAAACGAACAGCTGTTTCAATATACCATAGGGATTCAAGAGAATCATAGATCTACATAAATGGCTTTGCCGAATGTTTTCCATGTTCTTTGTACTGATCGTTGTCAATAGTCCTTTGCACGGACGAAATGATAACATAAGAAGGTCACAGGGATAAAAAAGTACTCGAAAAGGGCGAGGTTTCTAATTCGATTCATTTGAATTTATTGTTTTTATAATATCATCGGGATGATACACGAAATTATATTATGATAATAATGCTGGCACTACTTTTAGCTCAGGCATATTCCGGATCACAATCTTGCCAGAAAACTTACCTAATTGCTACCCATCTCTACTAGTTGATCCGTTTCTTATGAGACATGGCTTACGGACATGTGCTAATTAGCAATAGTTATATCTTCTAGAATAACTAAAACAAACACACGGAAAGTTTGTAGCCAAAATAAAGGTATGTAAATTTCCCCGAGTAAGGCAACTTCATCACCTGAAAACTGGCTACTGACACAGCCCACTCGTACAAATACTAAAAACTCACCATCCATGAAAATAGGTAATGAAGTATCTGATCAAGAGGATATTAGCTTGCAAACGGTTGACTCCTATCCATTTATTATTTCAAATCTATGCACAAGGATAAGGAAAAGATGAGTTACAACGTTTTTTAACCTCAACAACCAGCCATTTGAACTTTGACAGACCGTCTCGCTATCCTAAGCGATTTTATATACAAGTTCTACAAGGACATTAATAATGCTATTCAATTTATGATCCAAATATCTTCACGAATAACTAAAGTGAAGCGCTTTCTCGCCCTGACGCTCCAGCTTGCTCTATTTGGCAATGTGAACTGCCGTAGCCTGCGCAGGAGCATTTGAAGTTGTTGAATAGTGCTAATATACATCATATTTACGGTACCTTAACTACGCAGTTAACTTCATATATATCTTTACTTATTTCATTGAACGACACCGAAATGAAGATGAGATGAAAATAGTGCGCATCTTCCGCAGGTTGATTTTTACTGGCAACCCGTGGTTAACGGTAGCATGTACGCGGTATTTGATCGCTGGTTGGGTGCGGGAGATCGTTGGAGTCGACGAGAGCGGGCCAAGGAGCCTCCGCCAACACTTCTAGTATCCGCCAGCGCATCATGGACGATCAAGCAGAGCAACGGCAGTCTGGATGCACTAGACGAATATCGCCGAAATGTTTCCGGCGTTGCCGTTCTTATGGACAAACTTAGCAAGGCTGGTACACAGGTAAGCTTGTCGATGGCCTAACGTCATGATTTTTGTCTAGCTCACTGGGAGCCTCGTGTTCACGTGTAAAATCATAAAAGGGAAACAAAACGATGTTGTGAAAGAAAAAAATAGCCTGTGTTGCATTGTCGTAGTCTAAGTATTAATTATAGTTAATTTATAAGCACCTAAGAAACACTATGTGATACTTAGAATAAACTTAGTTTGCACCTGTTAAATGTCTGTATTTGTTACTCTGCGGATCTTTTCAGGTTCTGTGGGTTCTACAAGATCCTGTGGATAATGACAAGTTCGATGCGTCACGTAAAATGATTACTAATCGAATGCTCGATTTATACAACGAAGCCGCGTTGGAAGCATTTAGTTACACGGATGTGCAGATTTTTTCGGCAGTTAAGCACATTGCCAGTGGATACTATGACCGCGAGCAGTATCGCCTGTAAGTCGCTGCAAATTATACCACCAGATCGTAAAAAACCAATCCAATTAGAAAATCATACTGCAAGGATATTCGGGTGCCTTTTATTCTATACTTTTAGGCATAAACCTGTAATTTGATATAATGTAATTGTAATATTTTTGACGTAGGCAGTTTAGGCTTACGAACAACATGTTTCATACTAGGTAAAGCGATTTCGTTTATTTGAGTGTTTAATTTAACCCATTATGTAGCTAATTATTTCCTAGTTAGCGTGAGTAGGACCTGAATGGATAAAAAAGCGTAGATAGAGTCTCATATCTACGGTATTTCTACCCATTATAGGACTAATATCGTTATTATCATTACTATAATTATAACATACCTTCATACTTAGTCGATAAATCCTATTCGTTTTGTTACAAATGCTCGTCTTGTGTTAGGTGGGACGGCTTACATACGAGCAATTTTACTGTCGACTACGCTATTCAGCTGTTGTATAACATGTACTGCAATGGTAAAATGCGTTGGGAAGATTGTACCTGCTGCGCCCAACCTGAAGCTCTTACAACTTTACAAAAGGTGAGCGATATATGGATCATCTCAAGGGTGGCATTGACCGTTTAACAGTTTTTGAAGGCGTATCTGACCGTACGTAACATATCGTGTTATAGCTCGGCATAATGTCGCTACAAAAGTTCCGCTACCACTACCTAACTAGTAACACTAGCACAACAGTACATATGTTATTGTTTAATGGTAACGTATTTGCCTACTAAATTAAGGCACATATGGAATAGCCTCAATCAGGGTGTAGATACACTTTGTTTCGTGCTTGGAACCAGCCGTCTGAAGTGATGCGTGTCGGCAATATCGGATATAAAACTGAAAACGTTTTTTAATTCCGGTCTGAATACCTCTTAACTCCCATTTACAAATATTGTGCCTTCTTTTCGCGTCAATGCAATGTGTTTTTTTCAGGTGACAATGGTCTGCTTTAGCGTAATACTGCTCATTGCCACAATTCTATTTATCAGGAACCATTCATTGTGCCATCGTCTTCACCGTAGTCAACGAGGTTACGGTCACTATCAGCGCTATGTCCCACTTAATCATCACCACCGTCATCAATATCACACTAGAACGAACGGCGAACTCACGCGGTTGGCGAATTCGCTGAGTAAACTCGGCCTTATTATGGGCTACTTTTTGATCTGCGATCGGACTGATTTTTTTTTAAAGGAAAACAAGTACTTTACGCAGCTCAATTTCTTTTTACCAATTTGTTACGTATTTGCTCTTGGCCTATTTTTCACCGAAGACGTCAAAAAAGAGGAACGCCGGAACTCTAAAGAGGCTACCACAGCTGACGACGATCCGGACGCAAAACACCGCAAAGAGAATGGTGATGAAAATAGCAGTGGTAACCTGTTATTTGGTGAGCCCTCAGCTTTTGCGACGACAGCCAGAAGCCAGCAGCCTCGCGCCAATGGTTTAGGCAGTCACGAAAGCGGGTTTGGCGTCGCTGAGGGTCGCCGAGGCGATTCAGCAACCGTTATCAGCCAAGCTGGCATGATCTTGCATCGCCGCCAAACCCAGGAATGGAAGGGTTGGATGCAGCTGGTGCTGCTCATCTATCATATGACGGGCGCGTCAAAAATTGTGCCCATCTATATGCACGTTCGTGTGCTCGTTACCTCGTACCTCTTTCTAACGGGCTATAATCATTTTAGTCACTTTTGGGCTGGCGGCGACGCTAGCGTGTTTCGTCTTGCGCGCGTCGCATTCCGTCTCAATCTGCTCGTATTCGTACTCTGTCTGTCGATGAATCGGCCCTATCAATTCTACTATTTCGTGCCGCTTGTCACGTTCTGCACGCTGCTTGTCCATGTGGTGATGGTGTTGCCGCCGCGGGTGACGGCAACCAGTGTTGAACAAAATCCTGTGCAGTACCTGTACATGGTGCTTAAGTTTGTTGCCTTGTTCCTAGCGATAACTATCCTGTACATGTCACAGGTGCTATTTGAAAAGATCTTTTTGATGCCTCCATGGAAAGCATTATTTGTCACCTCGCCCTCGGAGAACGTCCGTGAATGGTATTTCCGTTGGAAGATTGACCGCTATTCAACGCCGTGTGGAATGCTGTTTGCGTTCTTACTGCACACGGCGAAGCGACACGGGATGTTCATCGATTCGCCAACGGAGAACATTATTCGATCGCGATTGGCTATGGTGTTCCTTACACTGGCATCAGGGTTAGCGTTGCTTGGGGCAACCACGTTCGCCTTTTACTGCGGAGAAAAGCCGGCCTGCAACGAAGTTCATCCTTACGTGTCGTGGCTACCCATTGTTGCATACATTACCCTGCGTAACGCCTATGGCAGTATCCGGGCAAAGTACAGCGCGCTGTTCGCCTGGTTTGGCGAACTCTCCCTCGAACTCTTCGTGTGCCAATACCATGTGTGGCTGAGTGCAGGCACGCACGGCGTTCTCGTGCTTATACCAAACTATCCGGTATTAAACGTCTGCATAACATCTTTTGTACTCGTCTCAATCGCACATGAAGTCAAGCAATTAACAGCGTACTTGTCAAGGTACGCTGTCCCACAGGACGGTCGCAAATTACTGCGGAACGTGATCATTCTTTTGATCATACTTCTCCCCATAGGCATTCATGACAAGATGCTATAATTTCTACATTGCAACAACATTATTAATATCACTATGATTACCATTAATAGGATTGATACTTGTCATAATAACAATACTTGTAGAAACTGTAACAAATCTGACACAGCGTCAAATAACTGAGCATATGATTTGAGTGACAGTACAGCTACAAAACAGCGCAGACAAACGTTATTTTTTTGCTCAGCGACAAAGTGGTAGACCGTACCTACTAGATGTCGAGAGCGCTACAAGTCAACTTAAAAATGAGGATACATAAGCTGTTGCAACAACTCGGCTGACGTAAACAAACCGAGAGATAGTAAAAGGACTTATTAGGTCAGGAACAGTTACTGTTGTAGCCTTTTTGTGTTCGAAGTTTTGTTGTCGTAAAATGCAGAGTGTGCAAACCATGCGGCGGTAATAAATGAACAGCGAAGAAAACCAGCAGACAATAGAAGCAGAGGAAGAGGAAAACGGTGCTTGCCAAAACGCTGTCAACAAAATACCAAAAACTCACAATCAGAAGGTCGTCGCGTGGATCTATGTACATAATATAAACATTAGAAGCTCGTGTGGGAAAATGTCACTGAATACGTCGGCTAGGCGCGTGACGCGAGCGGACTGATGTGAATAGAATTTTGCGAGCACATTAGCAGTTATTTTAACACTACATGTTAGAAGCGAATAATTAAAAAGGAGGCGGTGATGATGATGATAATAATAAGTGTTATTATCATTTACCTGCATCACGTAACATTGCACGCGTGTCATACTGAAATCGTTACTCTGGTCTTTATTACAAATCGAACCATAATCTTCCCATTCTTATATACTATTCGTATTTTACTATTTGTGACATCAATGTTCTATGTTCTGCGATCAATATGCCCTTTTCCGTCTACATCACTCTCCTATGGTCGAGCAACTCGGCATTGTGACTAAGCGTCACACACACACAGTAACACTGTGTAAAACTTAAAAAAAAGGTATTTTTTGGGATCAAATACGCTTAGGCTTTACTTAGGCAAATTGCAACGATTAATATACATACACTATTGATAACAGTCTCTCGTCGAAGAACAATTGTCTGTTGTGTGATCTACTTAGTAAGGGGATGGTGGGATACGCCGCTAAAGAATGGATATTCCGTACGAAATTGGCAAAAGTGGTGCAGAAGCAACACGAAATGAGCTGAAGGTTACTGGCTTATTACAAAATAATGTGACATTTAGCGATAAGATTAGACTTAAAATGCTGAAGTCTCTATGCGGGCAATATGCAATAGATACTAGAGGTATTACAAAAAGATAAATAATACTGTTACTTTTCTTAATCGACAAAGGATCCAAGCTCTGTATCTTCTCGCTCGTGTAAGTGCAAAAGAAAAGGTGGTGCGCGGCAGTAATTAAAGAAGAACGAAGATTGGCTGAAGTGCGACGCGCATCACCAGTAGTTGCACGGAATGCACCATACTGAATATAATTTATGAAATAACAATAAACACTGCTGTAGTACGGGACACGTGTAGCGCCAAGCAAAAAATGAAAAACGGAAAAGAAAAATGGAGAAACAGAAGGCAAAATAATCGTATTGAAACATAAATAATTAGTGAGAACAGATATATACATGTCTGCTGAATTACTTGTTAATAAATTACACTTATTGACGTGAACAAGCAATTAGACAAAGAGATAGAAAATGCGCCCATGAATTTTAGACAAGAATGCTGCTATAGACTTAGAGCGGGCGAAGGCTAAATCCAAGTAGCTGTTCTTCGTAGTAGACTGAGAATAGACCGAATTGTTACATTTCATCAGCTTTTTTAATCAGTCTAAGCAACTGAAACATTTTCCGGAGTTCGAACTTAGTGTCTACGTTCCTTTTCACCGAGACATGTATGCATTCTAAACTTGTTTAGCCGACCCGTTACCTACACTTTGAAAAGTATACTTACTGAGTGCATTGCTTTAAAACAGCATCATAACGACGAAAAAGGAAGCTGGAAAAATACTAGCGTGACCCAACTATCGTTACAATTTAAGTTTTACACATATATA